AAAAAACTTTACATCTGACCAAACTCTGACGATTTCCATTTGTGGCGCAGCCGACAAAATCCCGTATTGTTACTGGGCCCTAAATACTCGGAATTTGACCGCAAAAATGATTCTTTTCCATGTACGGATGGAAGTCCGGCACTTTTTTATGTAGGTAACATATACCACAAAAACAGGGCCCAAACGATAAGCCGCCCAGATTTTACTTCAACACCCCTTGAAAATATGATGATTGTGTCGGCAACAATAGAGTGGCATGTTAACTAGTTTTCGAAGTAAAAGGACCATATGGCCCAAGCGAAATGGTGATAATAATGTTAGGAACGATCATGGCCATGAGGATGATGACGGCAGCAGTATCAATAGTAGATAAGACGTCGCGCAGCAGCTCTGGGAAGCCGGCTAAGAAGCTTTCCAAACAACATCTGCGCCATCCCCTCTCACATTGGTCCGCTCGTTACTGGAAATAAATTTAGTAAAAAAACGTCAGTTATGTATGCAGAGGGCTTAATAATGCCAGACAAATAATCCGACACATCTGCGTCATAGGCTGTGACCAGGTGAATGCCACCACCCGCCTGCATCACAAACAGACAGCCCGCATAACTCAGGGTAAACAGAGTCCGCAGGGGGTGAGCTAATGGATGGAGAATGAAAAAAGGTGCGGACAAACCAGTCACGTATTCACCGGTGATGGTCTTGACAACGACTCCTTATAGTTTACGGACACTGTTGTGAATTTTCGCTAATCAACAATAAGTCCGGCGTAAACACCCTCTGTGTAAACATCACGTTCCTTGACATTTTCACGTGGAGCTATCTTTACGTGCTTACAACAAGGCATTTGACCCTCTCAAATGCCGGCGCCTGCATCTGAGACAGACGCAGTGTAAAAGTCTACTAAAGTAAGGAGGGTAGTACCCGTAGTTTCTTACTCACGAGTTGACTGAACACTGCACCTGAAAAGAAAAAAATGATAAACCCAAATAGTGAACTCCTACACAA